CCGCTGAGCGGACCGATACAAGCCCACGCTAGTCGTCAAAACACGTCCGGACCGCATGGTCTGAACGTATGCGGGTGATTTATTTTTTTGAAAAACTTTCAATCCATTCATCTTGCATCATGGTAGTACAATAAACACTAGAAATAATAAAAATTACATACAGATCCATAGATCACCTAACGACGATTACAAGCACTGAAGCGAGCCGAAGACGAGCCGCTGTCATCGCCTCTTTTTTAGAGAAAAGGCCAGAGCCCGACTTTATAAATAAAGCCCGTCCCTCCCTCGTCAAAGCCGGCCAGGGTCCATGTTAAAGATGCCCTCATCGTCTTATCCCTCTGCCATCCTCTTAAGCCGGAGGGGACATAGTCACACAGAGATTTAAACCCCTCCTCCACGCTAACTTCTAATTATAAGCAAACCGTAACAGCAATGCCTGTGCCAAAGGAAATTGACTGCCCAAATAAATTTTGTTATTATCGGCCTCTCACCGGAGCAACATTTCATGAAAATATAATATCAGGCAGAAAAAAATACTGCTAGCCAGAAGGAAAACATCCTAGGCTGCTATCAAAACCGATTTGAACAGTCCGTAGAAACCAGGAAAACGCGGGAGTGCAGGAAAAAGATGGGGAATGGTCCCTTGTGAACCACGATGTCCTGTTCAATTTTGACTTCGAGCTCATGCTTTTTCCAAGATGCATCAGCGCATGATTGGCGACGGATGGGGATGCCTCTGGTCGTGCAGCATGGCCCTTGGATGCAATATCAGCCATCCACGTGGACTTTGACATCGTGCTAGCTGATTTGACACGACCAGCAAACGCCGACGTGTCATTACCGACCTTGAAAGCCAAAAGGGCACTACGCGATTGGCTTGCAAACAGCTACGTGGCCACTGATTTTTGGTGCAGCATTGATGCATCTTCCATCCTGCCATCACCCTCCATCCCCATCTAGAATCTCAAACAAGCGTGTGTCCGTTACTTGCTTTACTAATGCTGCCATTATTGTTCACATATTTTCCCTCTTTTCGTAGATTCTCATGGATGATAATTTAGATAGGTTAATCATGATTCTTTCATCCGAAATTGCATTTTTTATTTTCGAGAGGGGCTTCCGCTTTGCATATGCAGATCGAACTAGCATCGACATGAAATCATCTAGAAAGGCCGGAGTTAAGGTCGTCAGATCAGAGAAGACATGAATTTTCAAGAATACATATGAGAGTTGCGCGCATTTTCATTCAAAGAAGATAGGTTCAAACTACATTACAAGCCAGAGTAAGCCGCATATATATTTTTTGATGAGAGAAATGGCTTTTACGAAAGATAATCAATCAAAGAAAAAAAATGCCTCGATACCCCGTGTTGCTCCCCTTGGACGACTCGGGCGACGACAAACCCCAACCACAACAACGTCTTCCTTCCTTCCTTCACGCTCCTTGCCGTCGCCTGAATGAGCCAACGGAAGCCCACACGTACTTTGAAGATGGCAGCGGTAAGGTGACCTTCGTGTGTTGCTCGCCAATTGGAAGGGTGTGTGCCTTACTCGTCGTTGAGGCAACGCAGAGGCTAATCCTGTCCATGGGGTGCACGGTCGCTAGTGGTATTCTTTTTTGTTTTCATTAAGTGCAATGCGGTTCGCTATTCTAACTCCTTCACCATGTCAAGCAAGCCAAAAATCCTCCCAAACGTGTCTTTGTTTGTCTTTTTTATGAGTGCAAGTTGCATCGTATGGCACATCTGAAAACCACTCGCGTCAGCGCTAACTATACTAAGAACAACTCTAGTTGATCCCTTAAAATTTAGAGAAGTAAACGGCCGAGTATCCTTTAGTGGAGTATTTTTACTCCTCTAAAATTTGGTCGTTTCTAGCGGATCCTCTAAACTTGGCTGAGTAAAAAAGAATTGAGTGCCACAAGCACAAATTCGGTGCACACAAACACAAATTTGATTCAAACAAGTATATATAAAACCTACTAAAACCAAATTCGGTGTCAATTCATATATAATATTTTACATTGACATTTAGATGAACTTAGCCAAAACTTAGACTAAACTAATCGAAACTTAGTAATCCCTATCCATCTTTTCGGAGCTTCTTCCAATCGCCTCTGGTCAGCCCACTCATCATAGGATCGGGGCCTTGGCCATTGTCGCCTCCATCCTCGCCCCTATCGTTGTCGTCGCCGTCTTCGTTGTCGTTTGACAGAATGGTAACGCCTGCCCCCCTAGCCGCTAACATCTCGTAAAAGCGGTGCTCTGCCTCGACTTGCTCCGGGTAGCGGCACCAGAGCTCTGCCATGTACGCCTTATCGCGGCCTCTGCCATGATGCTCACCCGAGCCTCCTGGTCCTTCCTCCTCTCCCGCGCGGAGACCACCGCGGGTCAACGGGCTCCAGCCGCAGCATCTCTTTAAAAGGAAAGTCGATCCTGGTGGTCGTCGGCGCCGAGCAGGCGGACGGACATGATATCGTATGTTCGTGCCTCTAGTTCGGCGGAATGGGAGGTTCAATCCAGATTTTCTTGTGGGTGTGCCGACCTGTTATCTTGGCCACCGACACTCAATTCCGCTGTCGCACGCCGATGTACTAACTCTGTGGCAGCGACGATGGCAGGAGCTCGGAGAAGCGGCGCAGGCGTCTGCGGGAGGAAGAAGCGGCGGCACGGCCACGGCCTCGGGACCACTTGTGGTGGCGCGGATATGTGCTGCGGATGGGCGGTGGGGAGCGGCGGCGGCGGCATCGGGCCATTATCGGTGCCGGAGTGGGTGCGGGACTCACCGACGTAGATTGGGCGGTTGGGATTGGGTGGAGGAGATGTGGAGAGGCACGGTTGAATTTTACTCCGTAGCCGTGAGGAGTGAATATAAGAGTTGGATGACACTCACAGCGTGTTTGGTAACGAGAGGGAGAGGGCATGGGAGTTTAGCGATGGGAATTTGCCAAGGGATTATACATGGGAAGTTGATTTAAAGTCCCATTCCTCTGTTTGGCATGTGGAGGCAATTAAAGGTGGGAATCTAAGAGATAATTAACTGCTCCTATTTAGTTGGTGGGATTAGGCAGAGAAATAACCAACTTTCAACGTGAAAACGCCACCCCTCACCACGTCCCAACTAACAAAACGTTTTTTCTCTGTCAATTCCCAATCCCCGGTTAAATTACCAGGGCCCCCCTAGGGAAGAGATTTGAAGGAGTTGGGCCTCTTAATTCCCCTTCCCCTTCCCTTCTTAATTCCCATGTCCCTGAATCAATCAAAGAATTTAAAGTGTCACTTATCTTAAACTCCCATTCCCTGTCTTTAATTCCCCCCAACCAAACACGCTGTCAAGTAAAAAATTAACTCTAAAATATTTCTGGGCTTCGGCTAGGTGTCAGTTAGAGGAGAAAAACCGATTTTTTTTTCTCTAACCGGTTTTAGGGGAGCGGCTAGAGTGCTCTAACTGACAACAGTAGGAGTAACAATAATGAATTCAGCTGGGAAGTTGATTAGTTAGTTGGGACTTGGGAGGGGGTGCGCGCGGCCAAGCGGAACTCAAACGCAGCGGACTCAATTGAAGACCAAAGGATGGAGCATCGAATCAAACTAGCATAGGGGATTAATAATTATGTAAGCTAAAGGAAACGGAAAGAAAGGAAACCAAGCTAGAGCTGGACGCGGGCGGGAGGAATGAACGACGAATGAATTATTGGCGCGTCGCGTAGGAGTGAGAAAGGAAAGATTCGACGATAGGGAGAGAAACGAACCAAA